CCACCCCTCCCCAGCTGGTACCACATGGTTCCCAGCTGCAACACTGGCACTGCAGGAGCTGGCCCAGGTGGCCCTGAGAAGATCACCCACAATTCTCCCTTGCCTCTCTCCCCCATCTCCTCCTTATCTGTATTTCTCTCAGAGCAGGGAGGCAGGAACAGCCCCAGGCCAGAAGCCCCTGCTAGGCAGAGGCTTCCAACTGGGCCTCGGAGGGAGTGGGGCTGGGCCAGATTTGCTGTTGCGGCTGTTTAGTTCTGCCACTGGCTCCCCCTGGGTCCTATTGCCAATGGCTCCTGTCATCTTTGACAGGCAGCCAGGGGCAAATATAAATTTTCTAAGTTTTTTAGGGGCCCCACAGGCCGGATAGAATGGCCTGGAGGGCTGAATGCGGCCCTCGGGCCGTATTTTGCCCACTCCTGCCCTAGCCCCTCACTGGGTGGCTTTCTACTTTCACATACTCTTATGGGGGTTGCCTGTGTGCTGCCCTTCAGGCATGGCTACCTCTGTAGCCAGCACATCCCTGATGCAGCCCTTCAGGTCACCACAGCAACTCTACTATACACCCTGCCTACGCACAGCCCTTCAGGCTGCCACTGCGCACCCTACTCTGCGGGCCTCTACGCATGTTGTTGCCCCCTCTCTGGGTCCACACTACTGCCCCTTCTTTGGGGTCCTATTTTCCCCCTCCTGGGGCTCAGGTGCCTCTGTAGGTGTGCCTGCCCCCCCCACTGTATCCTCCTACTCATCACCCACTGAGCAGTGGGGGCTGGGGTTATAAGGCACCCCTACCCACCTTTCACCGGGGAGGTAACTGGCCTGGCACTTCTCGGGGACTGTCCCGCAAGGGACAGCTCCACCAGGCCACCCTTCCTGGGCCGGGTGCAGTTTCAAGTCATACCCAGGACCAGGAAGGAGCCTCCTACCATCCCTATAGTTCCTGCCCTTGCCTCCAAGGTGTTGTGAGCAGCAGCTCAGCCGGGTGTTGTCCTTCCGGCTGCCAGCAGCAGACTGCTGGCTCAGCCCTTAAAGTGGCAGGCACCAAAGGTGCCCTGCCACAGCCATTTCATCCAAGCACCTTGCACACACACTTAATTCTTCTTTCCAGCCTTGTTAATAGAAATAAGCTTAAAGTTACTATTGGGAGATGCATCTTTTATTTTTTTTAAAAAAAGTGCAAAGGCACTGACATGTTGCAGAGAGTTATTACAGGAAGCACATACATCCAGTAATACATCTCAGTTTTCATCCTGTTTTCTTACCCATTTCTGCTGAAATGAAAATAGGAGTTGGTGGCAGCTGGTCATAGAAGAAAGTAGGAAACATTGTGCTGTTAAGAACTGCTTGCTAGTTAACACACTGTTAAATAGTATGGACTGAATATGATGCATTTATGTTTATCAGGGATTAGCTGATCTGAGAGATTTTTCAAGCCATTTGGTAGGAATTACTAGCTGAAAGTGTTCAGCAATCGGAGAGCCAGCAGGGGGAGCTGGCAAGTGATGTCATCCCATATCTTGATGCAGAGAAAAGGAAGCTTAAGGATGTAGATGTCAATTTTGAAACTAGAAATTTAGGTTGTCTCAAACAGAAAATATGCTAGAGGACAACATGGCAAGTTTCTAAGAAGGTTGGAACAATATTACATTTCTGATATCTTTTTTCACCTCCTGAAAAAACAAAACAGAAAAGTGGTTTCTTTATTATGCTATGAATTTCTGAAAAACCACAAACTTATTTAATTCATACGTAGCTTTCTGAAAATGAAGTAGTCATGACTGTGACTTCTGATGTATCACAAGCATGTTATCGCATATATTTAGAAAAAATCTAAATAAGAGACTCAGTATGACTCCAATGTTAGTGTTTTAGACTTGATCTTCATAAAAAGGAAAAGAAACCAAATCCGATTATAACCCTTAATTTTGTAGTATCTTTAAAAAGAGGGGGAAATTGCTCATGAGTGGTGTAAAACATTTGTAACTTTGATTTCTTGGGGTTTTTCAGCTCCACTCTTTACATATAAAGCTTAGGATGAATAGTGTAATTGAGTGAAAGGTTAAATAAGATTTTAAAAAGGTTTAAAAGTGTCTGCCTGGGGAACATGGGCTTTAATTTTACCTGGAAAACTTGCACCATTTTTGAAGAAAGATTCTGTGCCAGAATTCAATGCTTAATTTTTTAATTTTTTTCTACTTTTTTTTTTTTACCTCCTTTCCATGCTCACATGGAATCTGTGTTGGGACCAGAGCTGTTTAACATATTAATAAATGATCTGTAAAAGGGAGTGAGTAGTGAGGTGGCCAAATCTGCTGATGACACACAATTATTCAAATGGCAGGGATTATTAAGAAGGGAATTGTAAGTAAAACTGAAAGTATCATGGTGCACCTTTATAAATCCAGTGCATCTACACCTTGAGTACTGTGGCCACTTCTGTTCCCCAAACCTCAAAAAGGATATAGAGGAATTGAAGAAGGTCCAGAGAAGGGCAACAAGGATAATTAGTGGTATAAGAGGGGCTTCCATGTGAGGAGTTGTATGGAGGGGCGTCCATATAAGGAGAGACTAAAGAGGCTAGGCCTATTCAGTTTAGAAAAGACACCCTTGAGTTGGGACATGAGAAGGATTTACAAAATACTAAATGGTGACGAGAAAGTTGATAGAGATTTATTATTTACTCTCGCAGAATACAAGAAGGTAAGGCTCACTAAATGAAACTAGTACACAGTAAGTTTAAAACTAACGAGAGGAAATTCATTTTGATATAGCGCAGAATTAAAGTATGGAACTCATTGCTACCAGATGTTGTGGAAGCTGACCGTTTAGCCAGATTCAAAAAGGAATTGGATGCATTCTTGGAGGAAAGGGGCATCCTATTGAGTATGGAGGTTAGGGATACAGCCTCTGAATTAGAACTTCCTAGACTTTAAATTGGGGCAGGCAAAATACAACCCATGGGCCAGATTCAACCTGCCAAGCACTTTCATACAGCCTGCAGTGCCCCCCAACAAATTGCACCCCACCCAGCCCTTCCCTCCACGAGGGTGGGAGCAAGGCACCCATGTGTACTACACCCCCACCCCCCAAACATACCCTATTGCACCTCACTTCTACCACCCTCATGGGCAGAAGGGCTTGGCCCAGCCAGCATGCAGCTTCTGGGTGAGGCTGCTGCTCCCACTGCTGCAGCCCCTGGGAACCTGGTCTGCTTCCTGCTTGCTCTGGGCAGCTGGTAGGGTAGTGGCATGGGAGGGAAACCCCAGAGGGAGTGGGACTTCCAGTCCCAAGATGGTGACCAGGGGGTGGGGCAACTGTCAAGGGGCGGTGCTACCCACTCAGTCCTCAACAGCTCACCAAAACACATTAAGCAGCCCTCCACCTGAAAGAATTGCTTTAAGTGCTGGAGGCTGCAAGTGAGAGAACAGTGGGGGAAGAAACCCTGGTCATACCCAGTTCACTCTCCCTTTCAGCATTTACTTTCTGCCACCGTGCTGGGCAAGATGGACCTACAATATGACCCAGTAAATGGCAGTTTTCATGTTAAGGAAACTAAAAAATAAGGCAACTAACTAGATTTGTAAATAAGCAGTGCTAGAAATCACTTTATTAGCAGGGAACCCAGTACTCTTAAAATAGCTGTACAGGCTTACACTTCGTTTTCTGGGCAGTGTCATCATAAAGCAGAACCACTGTTAAGTGATGCAGTAGGATAACCAATCAATTCTGAAGACCTAGGACATTTGACATACCTTCTTGGGTGCATAGCTGGGTGGATAGGATGAGGGGGTAGTGACATTGATGGGGAGGGATGGTGATTCCTAAAGAATTTTTATTTGGTCAGTCTGGACTTGTGGAGCATATCAATGAGTTTCTTTTGAATGAAATACTGTTTAATCTTGCAAAGTGCCAAGAGCCCAGGCTTGATGCCAAACACCATTTGGGAAGTGGTGATGAGCAAACATCAAGGAAATAACTCCCTGTACAGCATGTTGAGCTGATGGACCAGAAACAATAGCTTTGTGCAGGCAAGTCTGCACAGCAAGGGGGAATAAGGAATGTTCTGATTTAAGGAAGGATCACTTTTATTTTGTAAAACTTGTCAATGTTTTTCTTGAACAATATTTTCTCAGTATTTAAAAAAATGTAAATTAATGACCATATGGGTAGTCGACATGGTGTGAGAGACAAAACATGTTACAGATCAGGAAGCTAGTAGGAAAATCAGCTTTGCTTCAGGCAAAAGGCTAACAGAACAGTGACACAAAATTCTGCACTAAGGTTGATGATGCCACTATCTCTTAAGTAGTAAAGGGTAATGGATAAGGTGGTAAATCCTACAGTTGTGAAAGGCTGAAGAAGAATGAAGTGGCCTCACTGAACCCTACAAACAGATGCCATACTGATATGACAATCACTAGTAGCACTATGTGAAGTTGCATGTGTAGTAGGAAGCGGCTTGACTTGAGCATCAGTGTTGGGTTCTTGCTCCCCCTGCTCAGTGTCTGCAGTTTCATCTGCTGCTGAACAATAGGAAGGCCATAAAGAACGGGGTGGAGAACATCAGGGAAGCACTTTATTGGCATTGTATATAGCAAGGGTTTGCCTCGCCCATGGCGCTGGCTTCTGTTCTAGTCATTTCATCTCAAACAGTTGACAGATTGGGGTGCAGGGGCAGGCAGGTGGCAAAGAAACAGATTGGAACAGGTGAGAGAGGACAAGACAAAGGCATACAAACAACGAGTGGCTTAGGGAAGGTGGCCTGGGAACTTCTGCTCACCCTTTCTCACAAAACAGGGATGTGAAAATATAAAATGGTGGTAGGCTCAAAACATTAAAAACAACGGTGGCAGCAAATCCTACTGCACCTACTGATAGCAGGAGCATAGCAGGTTCAGCAAAGGATTATATACATCCATATGAATAACAAGAATGTCCAGTTATTTTGTGTTCTTAAACCCAGGGGCTTTGGAGGGTGCAAACTCTTGCACTTCATTGCATATTCAAATCTCCTAACTATTAGCATGTAGAAAACAGTTTTTTCTGCAGGCAGAGTATTGTGTGGTAGTTTACAGAAGGTTGTCTGCATCTTTTTTTTTAACCATTAGTTTTGTCCATTGTTGGACAGGATACTGGATTAATTAGATTGCTTGATCTATTTTATTTTCTTTTTAATAGCAATACCTATATTCCTAACATGGTTTCACTGTGGTTGTTTCTCTAGTTAGCAGGCATCATTACTACCGGCAAGTGCAGATTGGAAACTACTGATTTTTATAGCACCTGTTCAAACAGCGATCTTCCTATGGTTTAGTGACTTTGCAAATGCAGGACATCCACACTGTAGTTCAACTCCTGAATTGCTTCTCCTGAAATCACAAAATAATCTGGAGTGATGGGCCAGCACTTCTCTGCCTTGGAGTGGTGGTTTGCTTTATAGCTTGAGGTGTGGACAGAAGGCAGGGGTAATAAAAACCATCATATCCTGCTTGATGAGCTGTCTTCATTTAAGGAAGGAGTCAAGTTGCCATCTGTATTCAGCTGAGAGCAAGCACTTTCTCTTTCTTTACTGACAAAGAACAAGTTAATGTGTTTGTGGTCGCATTCTAATAAAATCTTCTCGCAACCAGCTTGACAAGAGTAAGCTGAAGCCTGGGACAAGAGTTGCTCTTGACATGACCACACTCACTATTATGAGGTAAGTTTGTAGCCACATTGTTGGGGAGAGGTGGTATTTGCTTCATAGTGAATTAGTCTAGATACGTTGCAGAGTTAGAGTATGAATTAAATCCTGTAGTTTAAAAAACACATATTTCCTTCAAATGTAATATATGTTACTTGTACAAAAGTGATCGTTCAGTTTTATTAGATCTGTTCCTTTTGTTTGTTTAGAAAAAAAACCTTGTATGGGGGGGGGGTGTATGTAAATGATTTTTCATGCAAATGAAACCCTCCATGGGAAGTACACATTTTTTTTGTTTTTGATCTTTCTTGACAATGTGTTAGGACTGGGGGGATGGAAACAGACTTCAATAATTGTGTTTGCTGTCAGTTTTTCAGGAAGACTGGCTTTAAAATGGTATTTAAATGATTATGTATGCATATCTGCTGAATTGAAAAGTTAATTTCTCTTTTATTAATACTCAAATACTACAGATATTTGCCAAGAGAAGTGGATCCATTGGTTTACAATATGTCTCATGAAGATCCAGGGAATGTTTCGTATTCTGAGATTGGTGGATTATCGGAACAAATAAGGGAGCTAAGAGAGGTATCTGGTTTTATAGAAATACTTGCTGAACTGTTCTAACTATGCTGAGGAAAACGTATACTTCACATTTATTAGGGCTGGATAGGTTGAATGAGACATTGAGTCCAGTACATATTGTTTAGAAAACCTATTGAGGGAGAAGTTTTATCTTCTAGCTGGATGAGAGTGGAGTTTGCATTCAGTCATGCCACAAATGTGTAGATAAAAATCAATATGACATTTACCTTGGATAATCTTGAGAGAGGATGTTGGAGTTTCCTATCAGAGTAGAATTGCATATGCATATATAATATGTAATACGTATGTATGTGCATATTATAAATAGGAGATAGATACCTATTAGATTTAGAGAAACCTTTTGGTAAACATATATTTAACCTATATCTATCTATCTATTAGATAATTTAGGGAGACCTTTTGATAAATACATATTGTCTCTGTCTGAAATGCATAGATTTATCAAAAGGTCTCTAAATTATCCATATCATCCCTAAAAGATGGTTATTCTAGGATGTTAGAATATTCACACTATGGTACAGGTACCCAAGGTAGCTCTATACTATAATTGAAGGTAGGTAATATGATAGGTGGTGGCATACCAAAGTTTGATTTAACCTAGTTAGTTCAGGTATTGATAGTCCAATGATTCATAGATTGTAGAGTCGGAAGGGATCCAATGGATCATCATGTCTGACCCCCTGCCCCTGGCAGGAAAGACGACTGAGGTCAGACGACCCTAGCCTCCTCTTGAAGACCTCCAAGTTAGGTGATAGCACCACCTCTCTTGGAAGCCTGTTCCAGACTCTGGCCACCCTTACTGTAAAAAATTTCTTCCTAATGTCTAACTTAAATCTCTCCACTAGTTTGCACCCATTATTCCTAGTTACTCCCTGGGGTGCTCTGGTAAACGGCGCATCCCCAATTCCATGCTGTCCTGCTCTGATAAAGTTATAGGCGGCTACAAGGTCACCCCATAGCTGTCTTTTGTAAAGGCTGAAGAGATCCAGATCCCTCAACCTCCCCTCGTAGTCTTTCACGGAGACCACTAACCATGCGAGTGGCCCTCCTTGGCGGCTGCCCCCTGCTTCCACTGCCTGTAGATCTCTTTCTTTGCCCCCCCAGTCTGTCTTGAAGCTCCCTGTTCAGGCAAGGGGGCTTTTTTATCCCCTTGGCCCCTTTCCTGGGTAAGGGGATAGACTCCTTTTATGCCCCAAGGATCACTCCCTTGAAAAACTTCCAACCCTCTTGGACCCCCATTAGCTTGATGCTCTTGAGTTCTGCCACCTTACTAACTAGGTTTCTAAGTTTACTAATGTTGGCCTTTCTGAAGTCTAAAACTTCAGCATCACTGGATATTTTTCTCACCCTTTGCTGGATAGTGAACTCTACCAAGTGGTGGTCACTATCACCCAGGTTACTGTGTACCCACAGGTCCCCCACGAGATCATCCCCTGTTGTTAAGGCCAGGTGCTACCCCTGGTGCAAGGTGCTACACCTGGTGGGACTGGACACCATCTGGGTTAGGTGAAGGTCCTGAACACAGTGTAAGAATTTAATTGAGGAGCTAGTTTTGGCTGCCTGTTCCTCCCAGTTGATGTCGGGGTAATTTAGGTCCCCCATGACCACTGCCTCCCTCGCCTGTATGGCATCTGAGAGCTGCTTGGAGAATACCCTGTCTAACTCGTCATCCTGGTGAGGAGGTCTGTAGTAGACCCCTACTACCAAGTCCTTTTCCCCTGGCCCCACCTTGGATCCTGACCCACAATGCCTCGGTATTCCCCTCCTCCACTCCTGCCTTGACGACGGATGATGTGTACTGCTCCTTAGCACAGAGCTACACCCCTGCCTTTTCTCCCCACTTTGTCTTGTCTATATAACCTGTACCCCTCAGTGCCTACCGCCCAGTCGTGTGTAGAATCCCACCATGTTTCAGTTAAACCAACTAGGTCATACTGTGTTCTAACAAGTAGGAGTGTGAGCTCCTCCTGCTTGTTCCCCATACTCCTGGCATTGGTGTAAAGACATTTTACCCCCCAGTGGGTGCTCTTGGTGTCCCTTTGCCTTGATGGGGTGTATTTCCCCTTAGTACTTACCTGGTTAGGTCCAGTGCCTTGATTGTGGCTTTCCAGCCCTGGGTTCTCATCGACCACTGGTTCCCCATCCCCCGTCAAACCTAGTTTAAAGCTCTTCAGAGATCAGCTAACCTGCCGGAGAACAGATGCTTACCTCTAGGAGAGAGATGAAGATTGTCCCATCCTAGGAAGCCTTCTCCCTGGAAGTGCTGGTCGTGGTTGTAGAATCCGAATCCCTCCTGAAGACACCATCTCTGGAGCCGCCAGTTAACTTCCTGGTGCCTCCGGCTGCTGCCAACTGGAAGGATGGAAGAGAAATACGAGCAGTGCAGTGCCGAGCATGGGCTCCACTGGAATCTGAGTACTTGGTATGGTGGCTAGCCTAAACTGAAGCTTGTAATGACATCCATTTGTTGCCGCCTGTATCTGAACTCACTTAAATCAGGCTGAGGCATGTTTATCTATGCTGCAGTCATACTTCTGATTGCTTTGTTGGCATATCCGAACAGAGTATGCCACCTTCCCAGACTGCTTGCAGTCTCACTCAGTGCTATGTGTGGGCCAAGAGATTTAAAAGATTTCATAGTCATTAGGGCTGGAAGGGACCTCGTGAGATCATCTGGTCCACCCTCCTGCCCAAGGGCAAGAAGTCATCCAAACGCATCTTGAATGTGTCCAGAGTAGGTGCTTGCACCACTTCTGGGGGGAGTCTATTCCATATTCTGGAGACTCGGACAGTAAAGTAGTTCTTCCTTATGTCCAGTCTAAAATGGTCTTCTAGCAGTTTGTGACCATTGGATCTTGTTTTCCCTGGGGGAGCCCTGGTGAACAGACATTTTCCCAGGTCCTGATGCACACCCCTGATATACTTATAGGCTGCCACCAAGTCTCCTTTTAGCCTATGCTTTTCCAAGCTGAAGTGCCCTGTGCCTCAGCCTCTCCTCATAAGGCCTGCTGTCTTGACCTCTGATCATGCACGTGGCTCTCCTCTGGACTCTCTCCAGCTTCTCCACATCCTTTTTAAAGTGCGGAGCCCAGAATTGGATGCAGTACTCCAGCTGTGGCCTCACCAAGGCTGAATAGAGCAGGAGAATGACACTTTGGTTCTTGTTTGAGATGCATCAGTAAAAGCCAGGGTTTTATTTGCTTTGCTGGGTGTGGCATTGCATTGGTGGCTCATATACACCTTATGGTCAATCATGACCCCCAAGTCTCTTTCAGACATAGGCTCAGCAGTGCTTCACTCAGTAGCACTATAGGTATGATGTGGGTTTTTCCTCCCGAGGCGGAGCACCTTGCATTTCTCTATGTTGAAGGTCATCAGGTTTGTATCTGCCCACTACCGCGGGCCCCACTTACCTCCCGGCTGTGTTGGGGGTCAAGGTCAGGGTCTGCCGCATCTGTTGGGGTTCTGGGCTCGCGGAGGCATGACGGGCTTCCTCCCTGCATCTCTCGTCACAGCTGGACCCCAAAGTCAAATATGGAGTCAAAGTCAGATGTGGAGACTTGATTGAAATTGTGCTAAAACAGGTGTGTCCTGAAGGCAATGGCTGTGCACCATGAAGGTGAAGGAGTTGTACAGTGTGCCAGAGAGGGTGGTGATGATAGTGGACCAGATTGTAGCCTGTGCTGGAGTCACTGATGTCATTGTTGGAGTTAGTCTGCGTAGTCATGAGTGTGAATGCACTCGGAACTGGTTTCAAAGGAACTAGTTACAAGAAAAGTGGTAGAAGGTTGGAATACGGAATGGGAACAGAGGTATAGCTGTGCAGGTCCAGAAGGCAAAAGTAGACCTGTTTCACAGTGCCTTTAAGGAAGGAATCCTGTTTAAGGAGAGCGCCCCAAAACTGTAATATTGTTTGCTGAGATTCTAGTTGTAACTTCATTCTCTTCTTCTAAAAGAAATAGGAAACCAGATTTCATGTTATAGTTACATCAACGTGTTTATGATACAACAGCCTCGCTGGCCTGAAACTAAATACCTAACTTCTTCTCTCAATAGGTCATAGAATTGCCACTTACAAACCCAGAATTATTCCAGCGTGTGGGAATTATACCTCCAAAAGGTTGCTTGCTGTATGGTCCGCCAGGTTAGTATATGACTCTAGACACCTCTTCTTCCAGTTAGAATTTCTGCTGATTCTAAAGTCAGAACAAGCCTTTGGGTGTGGTTGTTGTGCAGTGCACTGCCATGCAGATACTAGCTTGCATACTGGAAGCTGTACATCTGTTTCATTTGGTGTTCCTTCCCAGGTATTTGCCCTCCTAATAGTGCGACCTTCTGCCCAAGCTACTATGGCTTCTGGTACCCAAGCACACTCATATTCTACGTGATACTGCATTGCGCTTTCTAGAAACATCCTTGCCATCCATGAACCTGCAAGGCAGGCCTCTCAAGTTTCGTTCTCATTACGATATAATAGTGTTGAAATGTGCCCTTAGAAAACACCTGCTGAATTACATTAATGTCTTTGTATGCTGGCAATATTGTCATTTGAAACTTTGGTAATTGGTTGATCTACCAGTTGAACAGCCTTAGTCTCTGTCCATCCATCCAGGTACAGGGAAAACACTCTTGGCAGGAGCGGTTGCTAGCCAGCTAGACTGCAATTTCTTAAAGGTAAAATAACAGCATTTTTTTTAACTAAGCTAAACTGAAACTCTTTGGAGTTCAGTCAGTTGCTCATAGCCCCTGCTTGTTTTCAACAGGTTGTGTCTAGTTCAATTGTAGACAAGTACATTGGTGAAAGCGCCCGACTGATAAGAGAAATGTTCAACTATGCCAGAGATCATCAGCCATGTATCATTTTCATGGATGAAATAGATGCTATTGGTAAGCCTAATGGCCTGTAAGGTGGCTAATGTTTCCTGTGAATATTTTAGTCAGCTCTGAAGCACTGCTCTTTTTTCCTCTCTTTTCATAAAAGACAAATACAGACTTGATTGTTGAGAAGTGTTTTTGTGCAAAAAAACAACCCTCCCCAGGGTTGAAGAAGTACCTCCTTTCAATTTGCTTCTGGAGCTTTTAAAACTAATTTAAAATAAAACCTGTTGGTATTTGTCTGGGGTAGGTTGACCAAATTCTTCTGAACTTTTACTAAACTCTTTATTTGCCATTTAATTGCACTAAAATATATTTAGCTTTGGAACCATATGAACTCTCCAGTAGGAAAACAGCACGCAGTTAACTTTCAGGCTTAACATATTACAGGTGGCCGTCGTTTTTCTGAAGGAACTTCAGCTGATAGAGAAATTCAGAGAACTCTGATGGAGGTAAACTGATGAACTGCTTTTACTTCTTTAACCAAAAGGTCAGCATTAAATAAATACTAGACATGTAAATCAGTATATTATAATCCAGAGTCTTGAGACTGTTACTATTCAGTTAAAGATCAACTGACAATTCTTTGAAAAACACAGCTTTAAAACTGTTTGAGATCCCAAGAGCATAGTCATGTATTGCATATAAATCCACTTCACATGTGACTTGGGAAGCTTTCCACCTCAAGACTTGGCTCTGGGTTCTTCATGAGCTGACCTTGTTGATTGTTAATGCACCTTGTCTAAATGTTGGTGATCGCTAGCTCTCTTTTCCAAGGGAAAACAGGCCCCAGAATTTGTTTCTGTGGATAGAGGCTTTCAGTTCAAGCTCCTACAGTTTTCACCATTATCATTTTGGAGTATTAACTACACATGATTAACTCTTAAAATACTAAGGAATTTCACCCCTCTCCTCCCCCAAATATAGCCTGCAATACCTAATATATTTGATTACATAGATTCTGTTGATGTGCCTTTTGCCTAAAGGAGTGCATATTAAGTCAATATTTCTGCCTGATATGTAAGACAAAATCACTGCCAGCAAAGAATAAAAGGTGGTCATCTTCACAACAGAACTACAGCAAACCTTATCTATTTAATTAAATGCCTTCTGGTACAAGCTAATATTTTAGGTGCTTTTTATTCAAACAATTTAAGCATCATCCTTAGTACAGTATATTGAAGGCATAACTTCAAACAGTTTTTTTTAGTGCTTTACATTGTTCACTTTTTCCAGTTTTTCATGTTGCTCCCTCTGGTCACGCTTTGTGTACATTGGATAAGGCATTCATAATGATTTTCAAAAGCCCACCTTTGACTACAGAATGCACAGGGGAACGTGGTCTTCAATCAGGGAGCTTGGTAGTGTCTCAGATTTACTATTTCTATACAACTTTTTGTATCTAATGACTAATAAAAACTGAATTGTGTGGTATATGGCAGGAGCGTCGGTTTTAAAACTACTCATTTTTTTTAATCCCCATTTCCTCCAGTTACTGAATCAAATGGATGGATTTGACACTCTACACAGAGTTAAAATGATCATGGCTACAAATAGACCAGACACGTTGGATCCTGCATTGCTGCGGCCAGGAAGACTAGATAGAAAAATCCGTGAGTTGAGCTGTTTTCTGTTATCAGTTGTGTGTTTGACTCTGTGCATTTCGTTTGTTTTCCCATATTCATTTAAAAAGTCCTTTTTTCCCCTCTTTTTTAAGATATTGATCTACCCAATGAACAAGCCAGATTAGATATTTTGAAGATTCATGCAGGTCCTATCACTAAACATGGTGAAATAGGTGAGTACAGAACTGCTTCAATATTTTCTTTGAGTGTGACTGCTCATTTTTTAAGAATGGGGAGAAAGTAAATTGTTTTCTACTCCAGGTCCTTATAATGTCTCTCCACCTCCTCCATCTCTGCGCCTCTCCCCCCCAATACTCCTTAGGTTTTTTTGTTTTGTTTTAAGAAGACCCACATTGAGCTATTACTGAATCTCACTTCATAAAATATGAAGTGTATAATAATACTTTAAATAAAACCACAAATTGGAGAAACCCTAGGTTGTATACTGGACAGGACTTTTTTTCCTGCTCCCCACCCCATTGTATAAGGAAGTACCTTAGAGGTAAGTGAACATTCCCATTCATCAAAAGATATTCTCGGATCCATATATAGTTCTGACACAAGTGAGACTCCCTGTTCCATTCAAAAAGAAAAAGTTGAAAGCAACGGAAAAGTGGCTTTATGTGAAGGATCCATCACTTTTGTGCTTTACGGTGTTGCAGATGGGTTGCACTAGTAAGTCCTTCAAACGAATGTACGTAGTAGTAATAACCAGAAGGAACTTTATTTGGGGGCATGGTTAGAGGCAGGCATAGAGTGAAAGCAACAACATTCCAGTGATTGGCATTATTATAGACCAGAATTTTCTCAGCTTCACTCTGTGGTTGCATTGAAGGAAATCTATGAAAGACAGCTGAAACAAGGTGAAGAAAAGCTTGGAGTTGAATTGGAGACGAGTTTGAGGACTTTTTAGTATTACATACTAATCTTTAGATCCTTAATACTAAAAGAAAAATACTTTTTCAGTTAGTGTCTATAAAAATCCTCAATAGAAGATAATGTAAGCACAAATGTGACTTTTTAACTGGAGTTTTCAGTTTTAAATTCCTTAAAAGATACTAAGGAAAATGGCTCTGTGGTCCAGATTTCTTGATACTTTGTGTTGCAACTCAGTTGAATGGAGACTGTACATGCCCCAGACTTGGGAAATTTATTCCAGGAATTGTAACCAGGTCACCTTCTTTGTAATCGTACCTACCTTTAGTATGTCAGGCTTAACATTTCTCAAAGGTTGGTACTTGTATTAAAGTGGCCCATTATTAATAGTGCATATATACAAGGGTGAGTAAGTTCTGCTTATTGTGAATAGTCTTCCAGTTTTTGAATTAGCACATCTAAATCTCGGCTATAGTATTACTTTCATGTAGATATTTGCATTTAATTTTGAACCACATATTTGGAAATTAGTAACTTTTAAACATAACTGCATTGAGTATTATTGACTGATATGTTTGTATATTCCTGGAGGGAATATCATAGCTAGCAAAAGCAATCAAATGAAATTCAGTCTAGCTCAGAACTGTTTTAAGTTGCACTAAAAATTATGGTAGAATGTTCAAGGCTTTTTTGTTTCATTTTGAAGTTCTATTTTAATGGAAAACAATCTTGTTCGTTATTCTAGTTAATTGTCACTTTTCATGAATAGATTATGAAGCAATTGTGAAGCTTTCAGATGGCTTTAATGGAGCAGATTTAAGAAATGTCTGTACTGAAGCAGGTAAGGAAGAGGCTCTTAGCTTATTTGTCTCTCTGTTTGATGTGCTGAGTCTGGGCACAGATATTAAACATTCATGACCTGTTTGTCTGATTTTATTCTAGCACTACAGGCAAACGAGATTCTGAAACATTCCTTCGTGATCATGTTCACTGATGTGAAGCTAGTTCATTCTTGTACATGACAGTGCTGGTTAAACTTGCGATCTGCCTATGTTTACAGTTATCAAACTTGGTTAATATGATAGTCCTTAGTGTTTGCAGTACTATGAAATTTACTATTAAAAGAAAAAATGTTTGATACTTGGAACAGTAGTAGTTTGGTATTGTCTAGACTCCCGATAGGAGACCCATATGTGCCCATGAAGTTTAGGTATAGAGAGAAGTTTCCTGAAACTAAGTGGAACATGTCTGAAAAAGGTTAGAGAGAATCTGTTTTTAATTTCTTTACGACTCGGAGTTATTTCAGTCATGCCAAAAATGTGATTCTTTAGAATCTTCTCCGTGGTGTTCATGCTTTCTCCACTTCAGGCTTGTCTACACGGGGAAAATGGAGTTCTCCAACTAATGTTATGAATAATTATTCTGCTACAATTGTATTCTGTCAGTATTGCTCCTATGCAGAAACATTATTCCAGAATAAATGTTTTGTTTCAAAACTTATGCTCAAATTGGATGCATTAGAGCACCAGTTGGTTACTCACTGAATCTACATACAGATTATGCGAAATAACTTTGGTCTTTTCTGTGTGTTAATAACATAGTGCTAATAACTTTTTAAAACGACTGTTCTGCATTAGGCAGGCAAGGTTCCTTTGGTAGATGTGATATCTTTTCTTTGACCAACTGAGTAGCTGGAACGTTCTTTGCAAGCTTTTCAGCACAAGTACCCTTCTTCAGGCATAGGGAGACTGTTGTTGTTCTGAGATCTCCGAGGAACGAAAGAATGTGCTGTATTATTGTTGCAAGTCACAGTAATTCTATAGATATCTCACAATTTCTCATATTCTTTTCCGCAGGTATGTTTGCAATTCGTGCTGATCATGATTTTGTAGTTCAGGAAGACTTCATGAAGGCTGTAAGGAAAGTGGCTGACTCTAAGAAGCTGGAGTCAAAGCTGGACTACAAACCTGTTTAACTTAATCATACACTTCATAATTGACTGCATGGGAAATATCAATGTATAAAAGGAGAGAAATAACATACCTCTTGGCTATGATCTTATTGCAGGTTTCTGTATAACACAGTAAGTTAGTAGTGTGTTTTCTGTACAGTTCTGAAACGTAACTTTTGTTGCAGCCCAAGTTAAGTAAGGAGATGTTCTACTAAAAATTACTGTGAGACTGTATAAACATACCTACATAGTTTAACTTTAGCAGATTTTAAGAAAGTCAATGCAATCTTGACTTATTTTATATCAGTACATTTTCCTTTCCCAGAACAAATGAATAAAATTTTGTTTAAAGTAACTCTGTCCTTCCTATGTACCTCCTCTATACTTCTTATCAGAAAACTCAAATAACAGCTCTTTGGGCACATAAAGTGCAGCTTTTCTCTGCAAGTGATCATGTCTGTCCCCATATAAGTATGGGTTTTTTTTTAACAACCTATGCAAAAATTACTAGAGGTCAATTCATCAGATGTAACATACCAAGAAACAGATCAAGAAATGTAATTTGCTATTTTATTGTGTAGCAATTTCATGCTGCCTGTTCGTGCAGAATAGGAATAGATACTACGTTAGTCTTTCACTGCTGAAAAATGGGGGGAAAGTACTCATTAGAACTAAAACTTAATTTATCACTTAATTATCTACTTAATGTTTATAGCCTGATTTCAGTCCACAGAACTGGTTACAAATGTCCATATGTGCTCAGGGGAAAGTGCCAGAATACCACACCAAAAAGATAACACATGTAGTCAAAGGCCATTTTAATAACAAAGAAAATATTACAGTCTTTCGAAAAACATTGGACTCAGTTTCCTGTCAATCTGATCAAATGTTAATATGCCAGATGGAAAGGTGTGTACAGTACTCCTTCAAGGCCTGAATACTGGTCTGTAGTGCGTTGTTGGAGTGTAACTGAGGCCAGAATTTGGCCTAGTGCCTGTTGTCTCCACATAAACTAGAACATGGCTACTGCAGTGGCTAACAAGTTATTCTTCAAACACAATAAAAAAGTTATGACTTGGAAACCAAGGTGTTCTTCCTCTTCGGGCTATCTGTCACGCTGCATTGATGTTTAAATTCTTCCTGCACCTGGAAACATGTTCGCTATGGCTTGCATTTTAAATGTACCTAAAGGTTAAAAGGAAGCATTCCAGAAGCAATGTTTGGGTGGTTTTTTTTGTTTTTTGTTTTTTTTTTGTGTGTGTAGATCCTATTTATTGCTACTTCTAACTGTTCCAACTGGATTATTCTATGCAGGTTCAGCTAACAAGCAAGTGTGTTTTTAGCTAGTTCTAGAAATTACCAAAAGCCACCCTATATTATTTCTGTCTTAACAATGCAGTAATTTGGAATGAATTGTAGTGATGCCTCTGTTAGTTCTACAAAGGAATTCCCAGTTGAAACAGTATTACAGTGCACAGGCAATTTTTTTCTGTAGTGTACAAGCCAAAGGTTGTCATTTTACCAAATTAAAAAGGGCATGCATATTCATCAGTGTAGGAGTAAAAAACAGGCTATTCACCTGGTGTATATTGTCAGGGGTGTGAAATGTGAATTTCAGTCATAGGGTTTCCCCATAAAATCACTTTAAATAGGGCTAAAAATCCGTATGCATTATTAACTACTACTGTTGCAGAAGCTGTGTATGTTCTGTGTTCAGTGTAATAAAGATTTAGAAAGTTCAGTAATACTGAATGTTACTAGACAGTTGAATGTATTAAAATTGTGTTGAATGCACTGCATTAATTTGGAGACGGCAAACGGAGAAACTGACTCCTGTCTCCTCGCGAAGAGTCGTCTGCCTGTTGCAGTCTAGGGTTCTCTGCAGCCGTAAGAGACCGGACAAGATGCTATGATCCCTGCTGACTTCCCGCCCCCAGGGCCGGGGGGCCGGACTCGATCTTCCGAGGTCCCTTCCAGCTCTAGTGTCTATGAAGTCGATGCGGAAGTAATGGGTTCAAGTTGCAGCAAGGGAGCTGTAGGTCGTACGCGAGGAAGAATTTTTCTAAGTATGAGGAACGTATTACCAAGGCTGTGGACGTTTGGTCAGTGGGCCACAGGGCCGGGTAGACCTCTTGCCTGGGACGGTTTAGACTGTGACGCTCCTGCCTCAAAAAGGGGGTTGGGCTTGATCAGTGTTTCACAGGCGGGTCACACACAACCCAAAAGCGGGGCGTGAGAATATGCGAAAGGGCTGTGAACAAACTTTTAAAAGTGGATTTTCCCTTAAAGGAGAACATGGGAAACCGTAGCTTTTCCCTTAGCTCTCCGTGCCCCACACGCACTAGGGGCCTGAGGGCGAGAGGCGCTGGGTCGAGACCGACCATCCATGTTCCCAAGTGGGTCGAGAGCCGCCGGGTTACGCAAGCCCCCGGAGGGCCCTTCCAGCTCTAGTTTTCCCAAGAACCCGAGCAGCAGATCGGGGTTTTGTTGCACAAAGCAGTCGAGAAAAACAGAACAAAGCTCTGCCTTGCCCAAAGAGCTTGCAATCCGAGACGAGATAAATGGATACCAACATTTCTGGGCAACGGATTCACAGAGACCGCCTGGACCATTGTGTTACAGCTGCCAAGACATGCGAGTTTGAGACGTGTGGATGCGCGGCAAGGGCTGCGGGTTAGACGGGAACGGCCAGATTTAGGAGCAGCCTGGATGCGAGCCCCATAGACGGGGAGGATCCACCCCTCGGTGCCAGCCGGGCCAGAGCGGGGGGACGTCCGTAGCCATCGGAGCGCGGCTTGAGCTCGACCCGGGAGCCGGTCTTCCGTAAGAGGAAGGCCCTGCCCCAGAGAAGTGGACAGCAAGGCAGAAGTTAGGCGTGCGGCAAGGCCGGAGGCACGGTCATCCCGCGCAACCCAGCCGAGCACGTGGCCGCACGCAGCGCA